TTTTTGACGATAAGAAACCCGAGAGGCGCACAGTCCAAGGCGCTGAGGCGAAAGAACGACAGACAGAGACAAGAGAGCATGACGGGTAGCGAGACAAAAGGTACCGTAACGGTGGGCGTGCGGTTGGTTACTTGATGTGACACCCTAGCGCCTTTCCCACGCGTTTGCTTCCGAAAATGGCTCTACCTCAATGGTTGTGGAGCTAGTAGTCGTGGGTGAATCAGTCCAATCTAATAGTGAAATGCGCTTCGGAAGGGAACGATGCCTTTGCGTCGAAAAAAAAAAAACCACAGTCTGGCTCCGCACGCGCTAAGCTACTAAGATGGTTTGGAGATGCCTCAACTGATGGTCCACTGGTTGCACAGGTTAGCTGATGCCGCTACTCAATGCGCACAGTAGCATGCGGAGATAACCTTATTGCTCATATTTCATCTAACTGATAATTTCTAGGCGTATAGTATTACACATATAACGATGGACATTTAGAACTGAGGTAATTATGAAAGTGGGTCACGCAAGGGTTTTGCAAGAAACATAAAAGCCGTCAGTCTCACCTCATTTGCAACAATTGTCGCGTCGGAGTCCGAGTGTGAGTCAATTGAATGCTGCGGGCGAAGCGTCTCACTGTCCGAGATATCGCTGCCCTCTCTGGTGTCATCGATGAACATCGTCTTGGTGATCGTCATAGTGCTTCTTTTGTCATCGTGGTCACTGCCAAAGGTGGTATTCCCGGTCAAAGATTCCCTGCTGCGACGAACGATTTGGGTGCCAAGGTCCTCGCTAATGACATGTCTGGTCTCCTAAAGAACTATGATTGATTTAAAAGTCGCGATGAGAAAATTCTTGACTTCAAAGGCTTCCGTGCCATAGGACGATAACCCAAAAACCTTACGTTCTGATACGGATCGTAGTTGAGTTCAACCGCATCTGAATAGGTGCTGACTGGCGTGCTTAGACCACCCACGTCGGAAAGTTCGTGGTCGATCGAGATATGGTCCACCATTGAGTGCCTGGATGATGTCATACTTCTAATGCTCCCTTCTGACTGAAGCATCGGCGCGATAGGCTGTACGTCGGCATCACAAACCAAGGCAGTCGATCCCTCACTCGAAGGATCTTCAAAGTCCCTGACCAAATGATGATTGCACTCGAAAGGAGCTGAGTCCTGGAGCTTAGGCGTTCCGAAACCGTCCAGAGAGCGAATGCGGTAGTGTCCACGGTCTAACAAGGAGTCGGAACCCGACTGGGTCAGAGTGTTGTGAAGCTTATCATAAATGAGGTGCGCAGAGCTGGACATATCGTGAGTAAGGCGAGAAAGGAACGAATGTTCTCCATGCCCAGAGGGGTATGCGGTGTGATTGAACGTTCGTGATTCATTGAGTATAACCTGGTCGTGTTCAGGTTGTTCCTTATAAGGGTCATATTCTGCACGAACCTCTTTCTCCACATGCACTGTCTCATGACGTGGGTGCAGGTCTCCGTATGAAAGTGAAGGGGCAATGATCGGTGGATCGCTGTGCTTCCTTTTCCACTCAGAAAGATCGTGAGCTGAGCGGCTCAGAGTCGATTTATAAAAGCTGTTAGTATAGTCCTCAACGAACTCGTTCAGGAAGTGATACGGGGTCTCATAAACCAAATTGCCGTTCGCCTCCCTCCCGAAGAATCGGTCTACGTCTGCGGCCGCTTTCAGGGATAGATCGCGAATGCCTTCGAAGCCGTAGAGGTGTTCTCCGATGCGGACTATTGCTCCCTTTTGAGCCACACTGTTGGACATCTGCAATAAAGAGTTACCTCAACTGGTTCACAGAAAGGCTTCACACTTTTTGAACTTGCCTGCATTCGAATATCCTTCAGATGTTCCCATTCCGTTTGGCTGGAGGTAGCTTACGTGAAAGGTGCTCACATTCCTCTCTGTCGTGCTCTATCAGGTCTACTAGACTGCTCTCGTCTACCGTCTCCGTGTACTCGATTTTCGTACACGTACCACTAAAAATGTCATTGAAATTGCTATATACTGGTTGGCTTAAGAATGTGGGCATGCTTTTTGT